TGAGTGCATGAGCCAGGAATAACTCCTGTGCATTGCAGGGTGTGACCCAAAAAGCAAAAAAAAAAAAAGTCTCTTCTAGAGTGAAATTTACAAGACTTCTAGTTAAAGAAAAAAACATCAAACTCGGGATTAAAATGCAAATGAAGCAGAAATCAGGCTGTGAATTCTGTTCACAGCCGAGCTTGTAAACATGTAAGAGTCCATAACGAGTCAGAAGTGACAACCCAGCAGCTGGAGCACATTCCCTGCAGGCAGTGTGGGACCCGGGTGTGGTCATTGGCACCACATGGGCCCCCGGGCACCTCCAGGAGTGGTGCCTTAGCATGGAGCCACTGGAAGCTTTCCCTGAGCATGGTTATGTGTGACCACCCCCCCCCCCCACCAACCAAATGAAAAATACCTAACAATGTCTCAAGGTAGAAAATATTTTTAAAAGTTGAAATGGAAAAATTATATCCAGCTAAACTATCCTTTAAAAATGGTAGCAGTGGGTTGGATCAATAGGACAGCTGAGAGGGCATTGGCCTCATACACAGCAGACCAGGGTTCAATCACCGGCATCCCATGTGGCCCCCCTGAGCCCTGCCAGGGGTGGTCCCTAAGTGCAGAGTCAGGAGTAAGCCCTGTGCACTTCCAGGTGTGACCAAAAAAAAGAAAGAAAAAAAAGGAAAGGTAGAGGTGGCTGGGGAGATGGCTCAGAGGTGTGCTACTCAGGCTTGGCATGTAGAAAGGTCCTGGTTCAACCCCTGGCATGACATGTACCCCAAAGCTTCAAAACAGTGACCCCTAAGCACTGAGCCAGGTGTATCCCCTGAGCACAGGTCAGTAGTGGTCCCAAAACAAATATAATCATTTAATTCAAATTATAGAGAAAGAAGGATAATAAACTCAGATCAATAGGAAGTAAATAAATAATAAAGGCAACAATGGGCATTAACAGTAAATTTTTTTAAAACTTTTATATTGAATCGTAGTGAGATACAGTTACAAAGTTGTTCATGTTGGGTTTCAGTTATGTAATGTTCCAACGCCCGTCCCTTCACCAGTGTACATTTTCCACCGCCAACGTTTCCAGTTTCCCTCCTGCAGCCCCTCCACCCTCCTCTGTGGCAGTTGTTTTTCTTTTCTTCTCTCTCTCTCTCTCTCTCTCTCTCTCTCTCTCTCTCTCTCTCTATCTCTATCTGCCTCTGTCTCCCTCCCTCTTTCCGCCCCCCCTCCCCCCGCTCCTTTTGGGCATTATGGTTTTGCAATAAAGGTCATCATGCATATCCCTTTACCTACTTTCAACACTCAGTTCTTGTCCAGAGCGATCATTTCTAACTCTTATTGTCATCCTGGTCCCTTCTCTATCCTAACTGCCCTTCACCCGAACACATACGTGGCAAGCTTCCAACCATGGACCAGTCCTCCAATAAGAGTAAATTTTAAACCAAATAAAAATGATTATTAAAATCTAAAGTTAGTTTGTTGGAAAACTCAGTAAGCTCGTGAGATTGACTCTAATCTCTAATGAGATTGACTAGGGGAGGGTACCAAAAATATCACACAAAACTTGAGGGGAGGAATAGTTCTCTCCAATAAACCCAGCATGTCCTTAAAAGCACAACTAACCAACCCTAGGCCCAGATTGTTTTACAGTTGCACTCTGAAAAAAAAAATAATAATCCTCTTATTTACATGGTTTCAGGGCAGGAAAAAAAAAAGGGAAAACTGCCCGATATTTTATGGGGATAATTTCCTTTGTTTTTTTTTTTTAGGTTTTTTTAGTTTGATATTGTTGTTGTTTGTTGTTTGTTTTATAGGCCACAAAAAACTGTACTCAAAGATTATTCCTGATAGCACTCAGTTGCCATTCCTGCTGGGGTCAAGGAGCCATACGGAATGCTAGCCATCAAGCCAGAGTTGGCCATGTGCAAGGCAAACACCCTACCCACTGTACTATCTCTCTAGTCCCGGATAATTGCACTTTGATACTGAAATAAGACAACAGTAAAAGACTTATTTGCTAATTTCACTATGAATAAGTTATAACTTGTCCCTAATATATGCATTAAAAACTAGCCACAGAGGACCACAGATATAGTACAGTGAATAAGGTGCTTGCCTGGTACGAGGTTGACCCAAGTTTGATCTCCAGTGCCACATACTCTCCCCTGAGCACTGACAGGAGTGATCCCTGAGTGCAGAACTAGGAGTAAGTCCTGAATGCTACCAGGTGTGGCCCAAAACCCAACAATAAAAAATAGCATTGAAACTCGGGATTCCATCCAAAACATACTATTTGCCACACAATTCTAACAATAAGTGTGTAAAAGCAAAACAAAATTCTCCCAAGATCCATCTGAGAGGAAAGATCACAGGGCATATTCTAGCCCCCTAAAAGTGGTGTGGCATATGGGCCATATGGGTGATGGACAGGAAGTAAGACACGTATCTTGCATACAGCTGACCTGCTTCAATAGTCATTGACATCGTATATTATCCCTCTCACTCAGCATCTCCAGGAGTGACCCCTAAGCACAGAACCAGTAGTAACCACTGAGCATCCTGGGGTGTGGCCCAACGCCCCTCCCCCAAAATAAATGGGAAAAAAATAGAAATGGAGCCCCCTGGGTTGGATAGGACCCAGATTGGACACATGGTAAGGCAAGTGCCCTACCCACTGTACCATCTCTCCAGCCCCAAGAGAAGTTTTTAAAGCATAATGAAAGGCAAGAAGGATTAGAGCAGACAAATATGGTAGGAACTATCCCATAAGAGGACTGGAATTACCAAACAAGGCCTTACAATAGCTGTTATTGATATGCTATGGCCTGTCAGTAGATCAAGTAGACAGCATGCACTCATCAACCGATTGTAAAAGCTAGACAGGATAATTAAGTGTCATGAATACCCACGATCACTTTGAGAAGAACAAAATGAGATGGGGACTTTGCCCACTGGACAGCCAGAGGTCACTCTGCACTGTGTAGCTGGCCAAGGCCCCACAAGTCAAGAACACAGTGGATGCTACGATGGCATTGCCCTTGCAAGCTCTGACTCATCATGTGGCCAGTGGTGATGTTTATTTCCTTTAAAAGGAAACCACTTAAAATCAGAAATCTTTCAGCTAGAATTAGACAGAAAAGTTAAACACAGGGCAGGAGAGACAGTACAGGGATTCAGGCGCTTGCCTGGCAGGCTGACGATCTGGTTTGTTCCCTAGCACCATGTATGGTCCCCCCAAATCCTACCAGGAGAGATCTCCTGAACACATAGCCATGAATAAAACCCTGAGTACCACCAGGTATTGCCCCATGAATCAAAAAGTCCCATATTGTATCCTGTTGACAAAAATCAGAGATCCGTGAAAGGTTAAAGCACTAGCTGGGGAAGTGAGCACCCTGGGCTCTTCAGAGATTGACTTGACGGTACTCAGGGGACATATGGGATGCTGGGGATCGAACCTGGGTCAGCCACATGCAAGGCAAAGATCCTATCCACTGTACTATCCCTCGGGCCCCTGTATGCAAAGATTTGAAAAGTGTCTCTTGCTCATCAATTGGAGATTGGACCAAGGGTTAAGGTAGCACTCTGAAGGAATGATCTGGATTTGCCTGTCAACTCGAATTGGAGTCGAGCATCCTCCACCCAGATCCTCCAAATTCCAGTAGGCGGGGGTCACACCCACCACCTGGACCCCTGGCGCCGTGTAATCCCATCAACGGCCAAGACTCAGAGACTATAAAATCCAGTGCGGCCGCGAATGACATCTTATCAGGACATCTTTTTATGACATCTTATTATCTCATTCCTACTTTGGACAAACTTGCAGGCTATGGAATGTAGCCTGCCCACAGGGCAGAGTCTGGCAAACTCCCCGTGGCCTACCAAATATGCCAAATACCAGTAACAATGATGGGTCTCATTCTCCTAAAGAGCCTTGAATATAATCTCAGGGCTAGGATGAAAGAGACGTTACTGGGGCCTGCTCGAGGCAATCGACGAATAACAGGATAATGAATGAAAATGAATGAATGCCTGTCAACATCATGGATAGATCCATAAATGTTTAGTGAAAGAGAATTCCAGTACATTTCACGAAAACACAAGTACATTTCACAACACCAGTTTGCAGGGATATATGTATATCAAAACAAAATTCTAGAAGGTGGCTTGAAAGGATGCATAGAAATTCCTGGAGCAGGGAGGTGCATCTGGGGACAGAAATGGAAAGTGAAATGGTGAGTGAAGAGGGGAATTTTTTTTTTCTTTTTGGTCCACACCCAGTGATGCTCAGGGGTTACTCCTGGCTCTGCACTCAGGAGTTACTCCTGGCGATGCTCCAGGGACCATATAGGATGCCAGGGATCAACCCGGGTTGGTTGTGTGCAAAGTAAACGCCCTTCCCGCTATACTATCATTCCAGCCCCAAGAGGAAAACATTCTAATTTTCGCACACGCCATAGGACAAAGAAGCAAGATGGACTACAATCTGTCAGGACAAAGTCCTTGGAAAGCATCCTTCCTCAAAATACAGTAAAAGGGAGATCAGCCTTGCCCCCAGTGTTTATAGGGGAGGACAGAGAAGGAGGGAAAACAAGGTGGGTCAAGGAAGTGAATGGGAAGAAATGGGCGAACAGGCCATCAGGGCTTTGGCTCTGCCGGTGATATGGGTGGGTGGTAGAGTCATACATTCAAAGCACAGACTCATCAACACTGAAAATAGGAGATTTAAGCAGCAACCACTGGAACTTTGTAAAGTGCCTGTCAGTTGACAGCTAGGGGCTGGGGTGGTGGTTGAGGGCTGGGGAGGGAATGTGGTGGAGGGAAGTTGACACTGGTGGTGGGATGGTGTTGACATATAAAAGTTATATATCTGTAATATGTATGTGTGAGATCATCTATAACGTATCAACAATATATGTGGAAGCATCCTTCCTCAACCTGGCTGGGATGCATCCTTTAGATTGCTTCCCACTTTGACTATGGTTTTGTCCCTCCCTGTGTCCCCCCTGCAGAGCGACTGGCCCCTCACCAGGTCACTGCCCATTCAGAGGGCACAGGCACCGTCGTGGTGACATGGGCAGCTCCGGGCAGCACGGCCTCTGCCGTGCAGGAATATGTGGTGGAATGGCAGGAGGCCCATTCCATGGACCGTGTGCCAGCCCCGCTGGACTGGCTACGGAGTGCCCCCTCCAAGAGGTCTGCCAGGATTTCAGGTACTGGGCTGGGAAGGAGGGTGGAGCCCAGGGGCTGCCTGGCTGGAAGGACAGTAATAACTTAGAGGGTGTGAGGGCAGCACTGCAGAACAGTTCACTGCCGGTGCATAAGAGCAGCTGTTTTTATTCATGTATATTATTATATTCACTGTATCACTGTCATCCTGTTGTTCATCGATTTCCTCAAGCAGGCACCAGTAACATCTCAATTCGTCCTAGCCCTGAGATTTTAGCAAGTGCCACGTTGGAGGCTCTTTCAGGGTCAGGAGAATGAGACCCATCATTGTTACTGGGTTTTGGCATATCTAATACACCACGGGGAGCTTGCCAGACTCTGTCCTGCAGGCAGGATACTTTTGGTAGCCTGCCGGGTTCTCCAAGACCTAGAACTAGACAATAAGAGGTTGTGCGCTTCCAGGAGCTTGGTTTTATAGATTCTGGATCTTGGCTGTTGATGGGATTACACGGTACCAGGGGCAGTTGGTGGGTGTAATGCCTAGCTACTGGAAGATGGGGGATCTGGGTGGAGGAGACCCAGTCCCAATCTGAGCAGGCTTGGAGATCTCAGCCCCAGGTCCTGCACACCTGGGTTCCTCTGCCGGTTCCTTCATGCGTGAGGCTTGTCCAAGCTTGTGGAGAGTGGCTCTAAGCATGACTGTGGTTGGGCTATTATATAATAATAATAATAATTATTATTATTATTATTTTGCTACAATCAGCGGCTCCACAAATAAGCCTGGCTGGGAGCCCAGTCATAACCAATGTGGTAGACACCCCTGAAATCTGGGGGTTTATTTCACTCACAGCAATCACCTGGGGCAAGCGATGCTGTACCCATGACACAGGAAAGGAAAACAAGCGATCAATCTGTTGCCCCCAGTTCAGTTCCCTGTTACTTGCGTGGTCCTAAATCCAGAATCTATCTCGATAGTTATTGTCTCAAGGTTCCAAATTCTAACTCTTGTCCTTGGCGGTAATCAAGAGGAAGAAAACACCTGAAAAGATTAAAGCAAGTGGTCAGGATTTCATCAACATCATGAACCATACGCCATGTTACTCAGGGCATATTCCTGGCTCCTGTACTCAGTGGTCACTCCCGGCTGGGCATAGGGTACCACGTGTGTGCTGGGGAGCCAACCAGGGTCAGCCAGGGTCAAGAAGGCAAGTGCTATCTCTCCCATCCGCTCAGTGTCATTTTTAAATGCATATGAAAACAGTGCTTAAGGGGGCAGAGCAATAGTACAGCAGGTAGGGCATTTGTCTTGCATGCTGCTGGCCCAGGTTAGGTCCCCAGCATCCCATATGGTCCCCTGAGCACCTCTAGGACTAACCCCTGAGCATCTCCAGGTGTGGCCCCAAAACAGTAACAACAAAAATCAAAAACAGTGGTTAAAAGTGTTGGTCCATTCTTTATCAAGATTGGAATTCTGAATTTCGCACCGGGTTGTATTGATTTAGGGAAAACTGTAGAACTTCTCTGTGCCTTGTTTTATTTCTCCATAAGCTGAAAATAAAATCATTAGTTTATGGGGTTTATTCTAGAGGTAAAGGTAAAGGTAAAGGCCCTCCCGTTGATCGTCGATTTGCTCGAGCGGGCCCAGTAACGTCTCCATTGGAGACTTTGTTGTTACTGTGTCTGGCATATCGAATACTCTCGGTAGCTTGCCGGGCTCTCCGAGAGGGGCAGAGGAATAGAACTCGGGTGGGCCATGTTGGCTGCATGCAAGGCAGATGCCCTACCAACTGTGCTATCGCTCCATAGGGTGGCAGATAGCACAGCGGGTTTCTTCCAAATTAAAGCTAAAATATATGTTAATATTTTTCTATGGAAAAAAATCTGTCAATTCTTTGAATACTGCTTTTATTTCATTATCTCCCTTTTAAAGTCCCATCATATGTAAGGTAAAGGTAAAGGCCCTCCCGTTGATCGTCGATTTGCTCGAGCAGGCCCAGTAACGTCTCCATTGGAGACTTTGTTGTTACTGTGTCTGGCATATCGAATACTCTCGGTAGCTTGCCGGGCTCTCGGAGAGGGGCGGAGGAATCGAACTCGGGTCGGCCATGTTGGCCGCTTGTAAGGCAAATGCCCTACCGCTGTGCTATCGCTCCAGCAAAAAGAAAATGGTAATTAAATAAATGGGAAATTAAATAAAATTAAATAAATAAAACTAAATTAAATAGGTAAAGGTAAGGTAAAGACCCTCCCATTGATCATCGATTTGCTCGAGCAGGCCCAGTAACGTCTCCATTGGAGACTTTGTTGTTACTGTGTCTGGCATATCGAATACTCTCGGTAGCTTGCCGGGCTCTCCGAGAGGGGCGGAGGAATCGAACTCGGGTCGGCCATGTTGGCTGCTTGTAAGGCGAACGCCCTACCTGCTGTGCTATCGCTCCAGCCCTTTATTCTAGAGAAGAACTAGAAAGATAGCTCAAAGGGCAGTGCTGGCTTTGCAGGTAGGAGACTCAGATTTGATGCCCAGAACTGGATGGTTCCCTGAGCACCTCTGAGACCCACCCCCAAACCTGAGCCCGGAGCAGCTTCTAAACAGGACTGGAGGGGGTCTCAACCCTCCTACCCAAATACAGTTACTTTAGAGAAAATATTTTGAAGAAAGCCTGACCTGTGAGTGATTGATTGATAATTTAGTTATTCCTGTGTCGGGGCTAAGGTTTTAATAGATAGTAAGGGCTCTAAATACATTAATATTTCTGTGACACCAGGAGAGCCAGCACACCTGTCTGGGAGGATATATCCAGCCAAGCTTACAGACAGAAGATGCATGCATGAAATAAAGATGCTGGCTAGGGGGGCTGGAACAATAGTACAGCAGGTAGGGCATTTGCCTTGCACGCGGCCAACCCGGGTTCAATTCCTAGCATCCCATATGGTCCTCCAAGCACCACCAGAAGTAATTCCTAATTGCAAAGCTAGGAGTAATCCCTGTTCATCACTGAGTGTGCACCCCCACCCCAAAAAAAGATGCTGTTTTTGGGAACACACAAGTCAGGCTGTATGCCTTATTTCTAGTCTAGTGGCTCAGATTTCTGGGGAAGTGGAAGTGGCCATCCTTGGTCCCTGGACATCCAGAGCTCACTGCCTAGATAACCCAGAGCACAGGCACTGTTAACGCAGAAACTACCAGAACTGCAGGAGACAGAGCTAGGAGGTGCGGGCCATTTGGGGGCTGTCACTAGCTCCGGTAGGGGCAGGGTGGGGTGGGGGTGTGGATCTGTGTCCTTTCTTGTCAGCCGAGCACAGCTAAGGCTCCTGCCTGGAAATTATAATAACACAGCCAATGCCAGCACAATTGGAGAAAGAACTTTCCTTCTACGTAGTGGTCTTTAATAGGGAAAGTGATTTCCTTTCAGGGCACGGTGTTCCTCCCTGCACGGTCGGGCTGTACCAATTTCCCTCTATGCTATTCTGCCCATCAAATGGGGGGAAAAACTGTGGTTAGAAAAGGCATTTACTGAACTGTAAATTGCCTCAAAATTGTCAGTGCTTATTATAAACTGTATCAGAAACTAGCCCTCATGGCATAGTTTGAGCCACAGGATCCCTGCAGTTCCTCCCTTGCAGAAATCCTCTATTTCTACAGAAAACTATAGGTGGCAAGAGAGAATTTTTCCATACTTGGGAAACTAAAAGGGTCTTAAGCACTTTAGAACTGTTCATTAAAATATAGTCAATACAATGTTGGGCTAAAATAACTTGATTAACGATAGTGGTTTTCCTGCATGAAAATACTCGGGTAACTATTAGTGGGTGTGGATGCTACATTCTGGAAATACGGACTTTGAAAAAGCAAATGAGGAATTGGAGAGATAGTACAGTGGGCATTGCACTTGCCTTGCATGTGATGGACCTGGGCTCGATCCCTGGCACCCCATATCATCACCCGAGACCCCCCAGGAGTGACCCCTGAGCACAGAGCCAGGAGTAAGCCCTGAGCACAGCCAGGTATGGCCCACGAAAACAAAAATCATGCACTCAGGTGGCGCACACAGCAAAAGACCCTATTGCCAACCTACGGTCATTGGCAATAGGAAATGGGTTTATTTGTGTGTAGGGGGAGGGGTATTGGGCCATACCTGCAGTGCTCAGAGGCTAACCCCGGCTCTGTGCTCAGGAGTCATCCCAGACAGGACTCGGGGGCCATCTGCAGGGGCAGGGATTGAACTGGACTGTGCCACGTGCAAGACAAGCACCTTATCCCCATACTGTCTCTGAGTTGGGGGCTTTGGAGTAGGAGTTGAGCACAATTCCCCTCCCGGAGTGTATATGGGTGGAGCTTGCCTTGAGCTCATCCTTAGCCCTTGTCCTGCCTGGGCCAGATGGTACTGACCCCAGAACGCTCTCTCTCTCTCTCTCTCTCTCTCTTCCCCCCCTCCCTTTGGCCATTGTGGTTTGCAGTACAGACACTGAAACTACGGCCCTTTCTCAAGAAGGAACCAATCACACTGCTCAGAGAACATTCTGTGACGCCCAGACTCCTGGGCCACTTTCTTGCGTTCCCCCTGCCCTTTCTGCAGTTACCCCGCATGCTCTTCATTCGCTCTTTGCCTTCTCCCACAGATGAGACTGAAACTCTGCTGGAACCACCATCACCCACCCATACGCCCTCCCATGTCCCGAGTAAGGAAGCGGTTTCTGAACCTGGAGCAGGCAGGGCCTCTGCCCAAGTCTGCCGGGCCTGTACTCTGAAGAGGGAGGAAGGAGCAGGGCCTGGACTGGGGATGGAGAAAAGGGGTGTAGACCCTCAGAGAGGCACGGCCAACTCTGAACTGGGCGACCGGCTTGCCAGGTTCTCCTCTTCATAGACTGGGAGTGACCAGCACAATGCTGAGACCCCCCCCCCCCACCTTTCCTTCCACTGACACTGAGAGTGGCCCTTCACAGGAAGCCCTGCCCATTTCTTTATTTTTGTTGGGGGCCACATGGGTGTTCCAAGCCTCTCTCCTGGCTCTGCGCTCAGGGATCACTCCTAGTGAGCTCAGGTGACCATACAGGTGCCAGGGTTAGAACCGGGGTCAGCCACGTGCAAGGCAAGTGCCCTCCCCACTGTCCTACATCTCTGGCCCCCGAGTCCCCAGTTTCTGATGTGGCAGGTCGAAGGTCTGGGCCTTGAACTCACGTTAGCTTCGAAGGCTGGTCTGGCACTCCGGCATCACCTCACCCAGCAGAGGGCTGGGGTGAGGAATGCCACAGGGGAGGCAGAGCAGCGGACACAAAGGGCTCCACAGCCGGCAGGGTCATTGGACTTCTGGGTACCCAACCCCTCCCCCAGGGCAGCTTGGCATTGCCATCCCAGGCTGCCTGCACCCATTCCTCCTGTCCCCAGGCGCGGTTCTGTTCTGTCCCCCTTGCCTCTATGGGTGGCACCTGCGCATTACATGTGCTCACTTGCTGGATGGAATATTTAAGGCAGAATGGCTTTTCCTGGAAATCACAAGGTTTTTAATAAGTATTCAGATGTAAAATCCCTCCTCTCAAAGATGCAAATGGTAACCCCCAATCAGTGGCCAAGGTTGGGGGACCCTACCCTCCCTGACCCCCTAGGAGAGAGACTTCCATCCTGCCATGCTTTCAGGATCCTCCTGGGAATTCTATCTGTCTTCCCCCTCCTATAAAGATGTGTGTTATCTCTAAGAGATGCCTTCTCTCTAAAACAGTTTGAAGTCTGAGATTCACGGAAATCAGGAATTGGGGCCCAAACAACAACTTGCCCATTTTTAAACTTTATGTCTGACAAAAATTTGCAAAGTGGAGTGACTTGGAGGGAAGGCAGGAGCAGGGAGTGACAGCCACATCTGATGATGCTCAGGGGCTATTCCTGACGCTACGACCAGGAGTGACCCCCAGACAGTGTCAGGGACTTGAACCTTAATGCCTATACTATGGCCCTGACTCCAAAGTGGCAAACTTTAAAGACCGGAAGATCTCGGAAGAGCTGCTGACCGCCCCCCTGCCACCTCCTCCCCCAGCAATTCTCTATGTTTTCGTGGCTCTGACACCATGCAGAGGTGACTAAAGCCCGTGGGAGCGGGTGCAGGAGGGAGAAGAACAAAGGGTCAGATTGTACCCAGCGTGCCCATGAGTCACACCCAACCATGGGGGCCTCACTGCCCAGCCAGTTCCCAGCAACTGCTGAGGAATTAGAAAAGAGGGTCCAGTTCCTTTGTCTGCAAACCCTCATCTCGCCTCTTGGCAAACAGCAAATGATTGCTCTGTGGAAATCAGTGCTCCATAGGAATCAGTTTTGTTTCCAGAGCCAGCTGTGTGGTGATCTTTAAATCTTAGCTGGAGCCGAGGGGCTGTTTTCTCCGTCATCTCGAAGAGCCTGCAAAGAATTGGGTTCACTTGCACAGGTTCCCTTCCGGTTTGGGAGCAGGGAGTGGCGGCTTCCAGAAGCCGGGGCCACAGCAAAGAAGGTGCTGAGATTTTGTAACTTAGGTCATCCCCTTGCAAACCTGGATCCAGTTTGTACTGGAACCATGTTCACACAAAAATAAAAATATAAGTCAAAGAAGGAAAAAAAAAACAGTACAGTGAATAGGACACTTGCCTTGCACACGACCAACCCCGGTTCAATCCTGGGCACCACATATGGTTCCCTGAGCACTACCAGGAGTGATCCCTGAGCACAGAGCCAGGAGTAAGTCCTGAGTACTGCTGGGTGTGTCCCAAATACCTAAATAAACAACTAAAAAATAAAGAGGCCCCAGAAGGGGTTTGAATGTGACCATATTGGACATCAGTAACCTCCCTGAGCAACACACCCAGGATGCTGGTGGGAGGAACTTCGTTTCCCTTACAGAGAGCCTCAAGCCCTATGTCTGTTACGAATTCCGTGTGCATGCTCTGGCCGGATACCAGGGAGGATGCAGCTCCAGCCGGGCTGACGCCAAGCACAAAGGTGAGTCCTGTGGCACCTTTAGCCTGAGTTTGCTGTAGCCGGATGATTTGGGTCTGGCTCTGACCTAAATCCCTCCTTTATCCTACAGCACCTCGAAGGGGTCCACGCATTCATTCCATCACAGAGGAAAAGGAAAAGGGCCGCGTTTTCATCTCCTGGGATGGAATTCCAGCAGGAGAGCAAATGGGCTGCATCCTGCAGTATAGGATATACTGGCAGGCACAAGACTCCAAGTCCCAGCCTCATTTCTGGGGTAGGTATGAGAAGCAAGTGCTGCAAGGCCTTTATTGTTTAAAAGGAGGGAGCGGAGAAGAGTTCCTGTGTGCGTGCGTGTGTGTGTGTGTGTGTCTGTGCATACATACACATGTGAATGCATGCACACATGCTGAGAATGCTACCATTTTGCCTGGCCTTAGTAAGCATTTATGGAAAGAGTAATGGAAAAATAATGGAAAGAGTCAAAACATCTAAATAGGCGTGCAAACTCATTGAACGCATGCTACAAGCCAGGCAAATTGAAGAAATGAAGCCAGTGAAGTAAGTGCAGATGAGCTTACTCAGGTATGGAGAGATTATTTTATTTTTTAATTAATTTATTTTTTTCCACTTAGTACTATTCATTCTTTTTTTAAACTTTAGATCACGGTCACAGTCCTCCCATTGTTCATCGATTTGCTTGAGCAGGCCCAGTAACGTCTCCATTGTGAGACTTCTTGTTACTGTGTTTGGCATATCGAATACGTCACGGGTAGCTTGCCAGGCTCCGCCGTACGGGCGAGATCCTCTCGGTAGCTTGCCGGGCTCTCCAAGAGGGGCGAAGGAATCGAACTCAGGTCAGCCATATTGGCTGCGTGCAAGGCAAACACCCTACCACTGTGCTAAAGAATCACCATGAGGTACAGTTACAGACTTACAAACTTTTGTGCTTATGTTTCAGTCATACAATGATCAAGTACCCATCCCTCCACCAGTGTCCATTCTCCAACACCAATGTTCCCAGTATCCCTCCCACTGCCCCCATCCCCCTACCCCCATCCCCGCCTTTGTGGCAAATGCATTCTCTTTTACTCTCTCTCTCTCCCTTTGGGTTTTGTGGTTTGCAATAGAGGCATTAAGTGGCCATCATGTTTGGTCTATAGTCTACCTTTAGCACACACCTCCCATCCCGAGTGGGCACTCCAAGCATTCTTTACTCGGTGGTCCCTTCTCTGTCTGAGTTGCCTTTTCCCCAAGCACATGAAGCTGGCTTCCAAGCTGTGGAGCAATCCTCCTGGTCCTTAGGGAAAGATCATTTTAAAAAGATATAAGGGGCAAGAGAGGTGATAACAGGGGGCTGAAGTGATAGCACAGCGGGTGGGCATTTGCCTTGCACACGACTGACCCGAGTTTGATTCCCAGCATCCACTATAGTCCTGTGAGCTACCACCAGAAGTAACCCCTGTGCATCACCGGGTGTGACCCAAAAAGTCAAAGGAAAAAAAAAGAGAGAGACGTGATAAGGGGGTTAAGGCACTTAGCTGGCCTAAGGCTGAACCCAGTTCTATCCCTGATACCTCAGGGTCCCCCCAGCATTCCAAGGATGGCCCAGGTAACCCCACCACTGCAGGGCTGGAATAGCACTGCATCCTCATACCCTCACATGGAAACACCAAGGATCACTGGGACAAATTCCCCTGGGCCTCCGGAGCCCCCACCCTCCCCCCACACCCTAATCTTTGAAAATAAAAAGCAATAAGATCACTTCCATAAGGTCCTTAAGGTTTACAAGGAATGTATCAGAGAATATTTAATTGCTTTTGCTTTATCGCTGGAGCGATAGCACAGCGGTAGGGCATTTGCCTTACAAGCGGCCAACATGGCCGACCCGAGTTCGATTCCTCCGCCCCTCTCGGAGAGCCCGGCAAGCTACCAAGAGTATTCGATATGCCAAACACAGTAACAACAAAGTCTCCAATGGAGATGTTACTGGGCCCGCTCGAGCAAATCGATGATCAACGGGAGGGCCTTTACCTTACCTTTACCTTGCTTTAATCAGCGGCTACTTCCAGCTTGGTGGTTAGGAATTACTCCTGGCTGTGCTGGGGTACCTGTGGTCTTGGGGGTCAAACACGGGTCTCCTGCATACACACCCGCACTCCAGCCTGCTGAGCTGTCTCTCCGGCCCACGTCTGGAGAACTCAGAAACATTTGCAAATACTACCATAGTCTTCAAGTAGGGAACTTGAGAAGTGCTCGAATGCCTTCTGGCCCAAACCCTATCACAAGGTGACAGCAATGGAAATGAATTCTGGCCACAGCCTTATCTCAGCTGATATCATGGATTCCCTCCTTTGAGTCTCCTGCCGGATATGATGTTCTGTCCCCAGGTTTACTCAGGTTTGGTTTTCACCCTGGCTTGACTTCTCTTTATTTCACAATCAGCTGGCCTTCTATAGGGAGCATTTATTAGAAAAAAAAAAAGCAATATTTTCAATCCTTCATGAGAACTCTGAGAAAAAGGGAGAATGTAACAAAGTCAGCCTGCAATGCGGGTGCCAGAGAGATGGGGACAAGGCTGTCCTGTGGGAAACTTAGGAGCTGGTCCTGTCTCTTGACTGAGAGAAGGGCTGGAGAACTTCTGGCCTGCGGGTCATAAAAGGGCGTGAAATGACAAGGCCTGGCTCAGGCCCATGACAGTTATGGACACAGATGCTTCTCATCTATATTGTACAGCCCATGAGTGATATCCAGTTGGACCTTAGCAGAGAAAGATGCTCCTATTCCTGACTTAGTATCGACTCCCAGAGAGTTAAGAGTCAGAAAGCTAGTTAAGCACACGGTGAACACATTCGAGTTCAGGAAAATAGAAAAGAGAAACTTGCTCTTTCTCTGTCCATAGGCTGTTCGCAGTCCTTCCTGGGTCATGGTGCTGGACCATCATGGTGATGGAACCCAGGGCCTTACATATACTCTGTCACTGAGCTACATCCCTAGCCTTCTTGTGCTCTTCCAGATTAATAAAAACAGTCCTGGAATGAGAGTACAGCAGATAAGGGATTTGCCTTGCACGTGAAAACCCAGGTTCAGTTCCCGGAACTCCATTTGCCCCCCAAGCACCGCTAGGAGTGATCCCTGAATACAGAGTCAGGAGTAAGCCCTGAGCACCACTTCATGCACTCTGCCCCCCAAGAAAGGGAAAACGCATGCACAGAATGTTTTGGGGTCTCTAATGAGCTTTTGCCTCTCAGTTATGCATGTTCTTCTACACTGATCCCTAGAAATTTGCCATCATCCTTTTCTGACTGCCATTATAGTATCCCCTTACAATCATTCACTTACCTAATTCCCCCATGCCCACTCAGAAACAGAATGCAGCATTTGATGGAACTACTTCTGGCCAGACCAGTCCAAGCCCATTGCTGCCCCAAAAGTCGGTGAATCAACTCACTTCTTCATGGACTTATTTAGAATTCTACACATGAAATTTGCTCCCTTCCCTGCCTCCCAACTCTGCTTTTTTTTTTTTCTTTTTTCATTTTGGCAGTCTAAACCACTACATTCATTTACAACCAAGAAGATCAATCAGGCCAATTGGTTCTTCAAGCTACTCTAGTACATGTTGAAGAAAACACCTATCCTGTTTTGTTCTTGTTTGGGCAGGTCAGCCACATGCAGGGCAAGTGCCCAACCCAGTAGATGATCTCTCGGACCCCAACACCTATCTTATTTCACCACAAATATGCTGAGTCCAAAGTTTGTGTTAGGGTATTTGGGTGGGAGGGGTGTGATGTTTGGAGGCAGCTCTTAGCTATGATGCTAAGCTGAGAGTTATGATGTTAAACTAACAGTAATGTTTGGAGGCAGCTCAGGGGGTCCTCTGAATGGTACTCGAGAGACCATGTGGTATCAGGAGTCAAACCCCAAGGCATCGCATATGCAAGGCAAGTGCTCTACCACTGAGCACATCCCTGGCCCTATGAAGGGTGGTTTTTTAGTCACATTCAACAGTGCTCAGGACTTACTTCTGGCTCTGTACTTAGGGGTCACTCTTGGCAGTGCTTGGGGAAACACACGGGATGGAGGGATTGAACCCAAGTTGGCCATGTGCAAGGAAATGCCCTACCCACTCTACTGTCTCTCTGGCCCTTATAGAGAATTCTTTTTTTGGCAGGGGAGGAGCATACCCCACAGTGCTCAATGACCACTATTAGTGAGCTCAAGAGACCATTTGGGATGCTGGCTGGGCCACATGCAAGGCAAATGCCCTGCCCATTCTACTATCACTCCGGCCCTAAGGGTATTTTAAACTGGAGGAGGAGGGCACACATCCAAATACCTTATTTGTATTGGTTAGATTCAATGTCCCCTTTACTCCAGAAGCTCTTCCTGGTACAAAAGGCCATTCCCCATGGTCAGGGAACCCCGTTTTTTGAGGGAGATGGGCCAGGCACAGTGGGGCAACTGTCATCATCCAGGACTAACACCAGACAACGTCAGGTCAAAAGGCAGTTTCTGGATATAGGCCCAGAGTGGTGGGTCGAGGAGGAAAAAGAGACACTCAGGAGAGAGGGGCCGCCCAAGGTAAAGGAGAGTGGTGTGCTAAGGAGGAGCTGTCCTGGTCTTCTGCAGTTCCTACCCCGAGACCAGGTTCCTGCAGAGTGCGGGAAGTGAAGACCAGATGCTCAGCCCTGCGGGAGGAGAGGAAGCAGGGGAGCAGCTGTGGCCATGGGTCTGTGGTGATACCTTATACCTGTGACAGCTCACACCTTTACCCAGCCCCCTGCCTCACATATCCCTTATGGGTAGAAATCATGGCAATTTGGTCAGCATTGAATCTACAGTCCAACCAGGCACACAGTAGGTGCTCAATTAAAAACAGTATTTGTTGTGGACTGGAGATTTGGTCCAAAGGGTCAGGTGCTTGCCTTGCACGTAGTCCACCCTGGTTCGATCCCCAGCACCATATATGGTCCCCGCAAGCACCATCAGGAGTAACTCCCAAGCACAGAATCAGGAGTAAACCAGAAGCACCACAGGGTGTGGTCCCCAAACCCACTCAAACAACAATAACACGGGGGCCAGGGGGTTGTAAAGATAGTACGGTGGGTAGGGCTCTGCTTTGCACGCAGCTGGCCCAGATTCAATTCCTGGTATCACACATGGTCCCCTGGGCCCCTGAGGCCACTAGGAGTGATCCCTGAGTTCAGAGCCAGGGGTAAGCTCTAAGCACCACCAGATATGCCCCCCCACACACATATACAAGTGCCAAGCACACACACACACACACACACACACACACACACACACACACAAACTAGTATTTGCTGAACCACAAATTGAACAAGTCCTGCCCTCTACTTTGTTAAAGCAATGTAGATTATTAGGAAGAAACTTCCAGAAACATTGCATCCCAGCTACCTGCAGCCTTGCCGAGGACAGGCACTTGGCACACCTTTCCAAACCCAAGCCTTTGTCCTCCAATTCCCCAGAACCTGGCCTGGCTGCTGCCCAGGGGTGGGAGGCCTTTATCTCTGTGGGAGAGCCAGAGGCAAGCCCAGGCCTGCCGGCTGGCGGAACCAGTATTTCCTGTGCGACTTTCGCTCTTCTTTCTCCCGGTTCTGCCAGCCAAACTGTTGACCCATCTCCCTCCTCACTGCTCAGCCCCCACCTGGTAGTGGGGTTATATTCTGTGCCAGTCTCGCCCTTTCCATCCAGGAAGGGGGAGGGGGGCTATAAACTTTCTTAGCCCAGCAAACCCATCTACAACCTCCCCTGCACCACTGGGTTCTGATGTGTCCCCGAAACCCTGGCTCAGCCCCTTCTCCCCCAGACCAGGCCCTTCATACTTGCTCCATGGGACCCTGAGGTTTAGCCACGACCCCCTGCTCTCAAAGGAAATTTTTCGTTTGGGAGGGGAAGGGGAGAGGGGTTTGAGTTATAGGCAACTGTGCTCAGGGCTTACTCCTTTTTCTTTTTGACTTGTTTGTTAAACTGTTTCTTTTTTACTATTTATTTATTTATTTGTTACTTTTGCTTTCTGGATCACACCTGGTGAGGCTTAGGGGTTACTCCTGGTTCTGCACCCTGAAATCACTCTGGGCGGTGCTTGGAGAACCATATGGGATGTCAGGTGTCAGGGATCGAACTTGGGTCAGCCGTGTGCAAGGCAAACCACCCTACCTGCAGTACTATTGCTCTGGTCCAAACTGTTCCTTTTCTACATAAGATTTTATTTTTTAAAATCGAATCCCAGTGAGATACCGTGTCCAAGTTGTTCATGACTGGATTTCAGCCCTATAATGTTCCAACAGCCGTCCTTTCACGGTTTCTCACCCCCAATGTCCCCAGTTTCCCTCGCATATGCAAGGCAAGTGCGGCTCTTCCACTGAGCCACATCCCTGGTCTTATAAAGGGTGTTTTTGGTTTTGATTTTGATTTGGGTGTTTGAGCCACAGGCCAGTGGTGCTCAGGACTTACTCCTGGCTCTGCGCTCGGGAATCACTCTTGGCAGGGCTGGGAGGACCATATGTGGCACTGAGTTGGAAACTGCATGAAAAACAAGCAGCTACATGCTGTGCCAGTCTCCCAAATAAACTTTTTTTTTTCCTCTTTGGATCACACCCGGCGATGCACAGGGGTTACTCCTGGCTTATGCACTCAGGAATTGCTCCTGGTGGTGCTTGGAGGAACATACCGGGGAACATATGGGATGCTGGGAATCAAACCTGGGTCGGCCACATACAAGGCAAACACCCCACCCGCTGTGCTATCTCTCCAGTCCCCCAAATAAATTTCTTAACTCTCCATCTTTGAAACTGGCGAAAGAGGACCCAAGTTCAATTTCAGCAGATTAGAGTAGGTGTGGGAATTTTCTACTTGGTATTTATTCTTTTTTTTTTTCTTTTTGGGTCACACCCAGCGATGCTCAGGGATTATTCCTGTCTCTGCACTTAGGAATTACTCCTGGAGGTGCTTGGGGGACCATATGGGATGCCGGGGAGGGATCGAACCCAGGTCGGCTGCGTGCAAGGCAGACTCCCTACCCACTATGCTATCGCTCCGGCCCCTACTTGGTATTTATTCTTAATCCCACACCAAATAGAGAATTTGCTCCAATAGTCCCCATGCTTAAATGATCTGCCCCTGGGGGCAGGATAGACTTCTTGTGACAATGCTCCAGATTGCTTCCTGGGGTGACCAGTGAGCAGGAGTGAGGGAGGTTTGTTGGACCCACTAGATCATTAACAACTGGGAGCAGATTCTGTGTCTTTGTAAACTAGTGTCTTATCCAGGGAAGATGCTCAAGACATATTTGTGACTGTCTCGCTAAACTCTGCGGGTGTAGATGGTACCCGAGGCTTGGGAGTCAGCCTATGACATCAAGACACAAAGTGCCATGTTCTGGCTCCTCTTTGCTCACCGGTCAGTCTCCATGGTTCTGCCAAGTGAGCCAGGAGGGTGCTCCTGCCCGAGTCCTGGCTCTGGTTTCATGTTCTCCCCAGGTTCCAAGGTTCCCCTCAGAACTCACCGTCAAAACACCAGAGATGAACTACTGGCCAGTTAACATACTTATGTCTTTAGGAGTTGGAAAGAAACACCTTAGTATGGGCCCGAGTTGTAGTATAGCGGGAGGGCTCTTATCTTGCACATAGCCGGCCTGAGTTCAATCCCTGGCATCCCATAGGGTCCCCTGAGCACCACCAGAGTAATTCCTGAATATAGAGCCAGGAGTAACCCCTGAACATCACCAGGTGTGGCCCCAAAACCAAACAAACCCAAGCACATTGCTCAGACACTAAAATCTTGACAGGGGAGACAGCTCAAAAGGTTGAAGCACATGTTTTTGCGTGAAGGAGGCCCAGGTTTGATCCCTTCCTCCACCCCTACTCCCTTACCCCGTAGCCCCACTCCCACTGAGGTTGCTGAGAGCGAACTCCGTGCACTAAGCCAGAAGTAGTCCCTGAGCATTGCTGGGTGTGACCCAAAGCCCAAACAAATGGAGCGATAACACAGCGGTAGGGCATTTGCCTTGTGTGCAGCCAGCCAGGCCGAGCCGAGGTCGATTCCTCCGCCCCTCTCGGAGAGCCCGGCAAGCTACCGAGAGTATCTCACCCGCACAGCAAAGCCTGGCAAGCTACCCGTGACGTATTCAATATGCGAAACACAGTAACAAGAAGTCTCACGATGGAGACGTTACTGGGCCCGCTCGAGCAAATTGATGAACAACGGGAGTACCGTGACTGTGACTGTGAACTCTTTTTATTTTAAATCCACTACATTTATTTTTCAGAATACTTTGTGGGATAAACCCAAATATTTTACTATGTTTATATACCTTATTTTTTAATTAATTTTTATAAGGTTTATTCATGATGATTCAATATTCCAACACCAATGCCACCAGCATTACACCTTCCCACCCCATTATTTCCAATTTTCCTAACCACCAGCCAAGTTTGCCCCAATAGCAGGCCCTAAATAATTTATTTTATATTGTCTATTATAAGGTAAAGGTTTCCTTAGAAGAAAGTATGTGAAGGTTGTTGTTTCTCACCCTGGAGCCTTTAAGCGTTGGTATAAGAGATTATTAACATATTATTACAGGTTAAGCCTTATGTGTTAATATTTCCTTGAGATTCAAAACCCTAACTCTTCTGTGTGAGTTTTTGGGGGTGTTGAGAATGGAAGAAACTGGTCAATTGGGCTCAACCTGCCAAGATACATCTAAGAAGCCATGACATAGAAGGCAGCCATCATAGTGGCAAGGCCATGTGGGACAGTAGGGAGATTGGTGGGATGACATCAGAAGGACAACAGCCCTAAGGAAAGAAAATCAGGGCAATGGACCCAGGATATGCACCCAGGATGTGCAGAGGATAATCCTCGCAAACATCCTGCTCTTCACCAACCCATTGTCGTCCCTTCTTTCATGCTTCCAGAACATCTAAAAGAGGTTTTCATCTTACCCAGGCATGCTACTTAAAGATACCCCAAAGCTCAAAGATACCCCAAAGCTTAACTTCCTCTCTCTTCCCTTTCCTCAAAGTCTCTCCTGAATTCAACTGTCTTGCAATGGGTCCTTTGCTTTCAGTCTTGATGGTCTGAGAACAAGAACCTGAGCAGTCCAGGCCAGACAGAGTGGACTTGCATGTAGCCTTGCATTTGCCTTGCATGTAGCCCACCGGGTTTGATCCCCAGCACTACAGATGCATGCCCCCCACTCCCCTCCCCACCCCCGCATCCCCAGGTGTGATTCCTGAGTCAGGAATAATCCATGAGCATCTCAAGGTGGGGCCCAAAGCCAAAAACAAACAAACAAAAAACAAATTAGAACTTGAGCACACCTAGCAGAGTGTGCCCACTAACTAGAACTTACTCCACCCCCCCACTAAAATGGAAAATTATCTTAAATGTTACTTAAATGCCTGCTTCATCAATTGCTAAACTTAATCTTCATTACAGTTCCATTGAAAACAATTTGGACATTGAATTTTCTTCACAAGAGTTCTCAAGTATGCCTGAACCATGCCAGCAACAGGAATCATAGTAGAAAATAAAAATTACTACAGCTAAATAATTTCAAGAGCAAATGGTAAAAAAAGAAAAACCAAAAAATCATACTTTGGGCTGGAGCAATAGCACAGCGGGTAGGGCATCTGCCTTGCATGCCGCCAACCCGGGTTTGATTGCCAGCATCCCATATGGTCCCCTGAGCACTGCCAGGAGTAACCTCTGTGCATCGCCGAGTGGGACCCTAAAAGCTGTAGCACGGTAGCACTGTCCTCCTGTTGTTCATCGATTTGCTCGAGCAGGCACCAGTAACATCTCCATTGTGAGACTTGTTTCTGTTTTTTTTTTTTTTTTTTGGCATATCGAATACGCCACGGGGAGCTTGCCAGGCTTTGCCGTGCGGGAGAGATACTCTCGGTAGCTTGCCGGGCTCTCCGAGAGGGGTGGAGGAATCGAACTGGGGTTGGCCACATGTAAGGCAAAAGCCCTACCCACTGTGCTATCTCTCCAGCCAAAAAAAATAAATAAAAAATTTTAAAAGTCTAATTTTGCCACCAAAACTTTTGACCTCTCTGGAGGAACCGATCTGTTGACTAACGTGACTGCCAGGGCCTTTGAAGTATTCCGTCCAGATGATGAATTCTGACTATTTTACAACAAGGTACTGCTTCACTCTCCCAAAGTAAGAGCGTTAACAGAGCTAACGAAAGTCCAGTAAGTTCCATTAATGTGCGCCACTCTCCCTTTTCCTTCTTTCCAGAAATTCCTTACCGGGACTCTCCCAATTCACACACCCTAGACAGCCTGCAGCCCCGGGTGACATACCTCCTGTGGATGACGGCCCTGACAGCTGCTGGGGAAAGTCCCCAAGGAAATAAAATGGAATTTCGACTGCAAGGTAAGAAACAGCCATGAGGGTGGCAAGACCACCCCCCACCCCCACCCCAGACTCCTACAAACGCACACACTCCCTCTGGGTTGGGCATAGAAAGGAGGATCCCATGACAGTGCTCCCGGCAATGACCGTGTCCCTATGCAGTAGGCTAGAATCCAGGCCGGCTACCTGGAGGAGGCTCCCTGAGGTCCACACAGTGATGAAACCACATGCTTAGTTGTCATTCCTTTCCCAGGACTGTGGCACGCTTGTGAGCCTTGCTCACTCCTGCTGCACCCTTGGCCTTCGCTCCAAGCCTTCCACAAGCTCTTGGTGCTTTGCAACGCAGAACCTGGAGTTGGTTGGTGGTTTGTGACTTTGGTGTCCTAGGCCAGGGGCTCCTCCACAAGGCCAGTCAGTGGACACCCTTCTCCCATCTGCCCGGCACCACTGCATTTAAATGAGTGAGCGGGTCAGTGGAGTAAGTGCCCTGCCCTCTGCAAGAATCCCAACGCTGCCATTCCACCTTGCTGCAGGCCACAGTGGGTCCCCGAGGGTTCTCAGGCAAGGCTGCAAACTGCCATGTGACCAGGCTCTGTAGGATGGGGTCTTTTCACTGCACTTCCTCTTCTGTCACACACTCAGTGTTTGTACTGGAAAGCAAGACCAGAGCAGAACCAACTCTCAGGGAAGGACTGTGTGCTTTCCCTGGTCTCATTAGTCTCAGCTTCCCTAACTTCACCACTACCAACTGCATCCATCTTTCAACTCCAAACTTTGGACATTGTGCCACTTTCTTTTTTTCCCCTTTTTTTTTTAAAATTTTTGGGTCACACCCAGTGATGCTCAGGAGTTACTCAGGAATTAGTCCTGGCGGTGCTCAGGGGACCATATGGGATGCTGGGGATCGAACCCAGCTAGGCAGCATGCAAGGCAAACGCCTTCCCTGCTGTACTTTCGCTCCAGGCCCCATTGTCCTGCTTTCAAACCCCGCTATATGTCCATGCTGCTCTCTCCTTACACCCACCATGGCGCCCAGTGTCCACACAGACCCCCCACATCACAGATCAATGGTTACAGGGACACGTCCCTCCTGACTTCCAGATAGGAGAGCCCAGGGCCCATACCCATCTCCAGTCAGAAGCCAATCTAGAATTCTGGCATAGAAAAATGCTGCTGTTCTTTCCATAGGAAGGAGTGGGAGTTAGCTCTCAGACTCCTGTAAGCTAGAGGGCTTATATAGTTTGGTAAAATTAAAAGCAGCTATTTCTTGAGGGGCCTTGTAAGATCGCAAGTATTGTCATGTGTTTTTAAATACCTCAACTCAAAGCTTCACAGCACCCTGAAAAGTAGACATCATCGTTCATTCACCTTTTATAGACCAAGAATCTGAGCTCCACAATCCCTGTGGTAATTCGTGGCAGAGCCAGGGCTAGCTTTGGGGGTGCCCTATTCACAATTGGTACTTTGTAAGCATTCCTCCTTTCCTCTGGAGAAAGGACCAGCCTTTGCAGGGCTGCTTCCCTTAGAGCCTCAGAATTGACCTCCTGCCCCACCTTTCTCTCTGTGTCTCTGTCGGTGTGTGTCTGTCTCTCTTGTCTCTTTCTCTGTCCCTCTGTGTCTCTGTCTCTTTCTTTGTCTCTGTCTCTGTGTGTCTGTTTCTCTGTGTCTCTGACTCTCTGTGTGTCTCTGTCTCTCTCTGTGTCTCTGTGTGTGTCTGTATTTCTGTTTCTTTGTGTCTGTGTCTGTGTCTCTGTTTCTCTGTCTCTCTCTCTGTCTCTGTTTCTGTGTGTCTGTGTCTCTGTGTGTCTGTTTCTCTGTGTCTCTGTCTCTCTGTTGTCTCTGTCCTCTCTGTGTATGTCTGTGTCCCTCTGTGTCTCTGTCTCTGTTTCTGTGTCTGTGTCTCTGTATCTCTATGTTTCTGTCTCTACATGTCTGTGTCTCTGCGTCCGTCTCTTTGTCTCTATGTGAGTGTGTGTGTGTGTGTGTGTGTGTGTGTGTCTGTGTCTTCCTATCTCTCTCTCGGTCTGTGTGTGTGTGTGTGTGTCTGTCTGTCTGTCTGTCTCTCTCTCTCTCACTTGCTCGTTCTCTGAATAATCAACGAATGAGTTAATGAGTTGCTGGGCCAGGTATGCAGCTCAGTGGTGAAGCACTTGCTTCTCATGTGGAAGACCCAAATTTTGATCCCCAGCACTGCTAAAAAGAACGCCCACAAAACCAGGTTGCTGTTTTCCTGACTGTAGCTACACAGCAGGCTGGATAGAGGGTTCTCAGCCAGTATGTTGGAATGCTCAGTCACGAGGTTCAATGTCTTTTCAGGTAAAGCCAGATGGAGTGTGTTGGTGGCACCGGGCATCTGTATGGCCGTCCTCATGGTGGGCATTTTCTCAATACGGCACTTCCGGCAAAAGTGAGTTGGCTGCCTCTGCCCAATTGGAAAAAGTCTTTTTTTCTTTTTTAATGTTAGTTGTTCCTAATAGGTCAGAGAAGCGCAAATAATAAATTTTCAGGGACCAGAAGTACTAGTTAAATTCTTAAAAGTATGCCTTTTGGGGCTGGAGAGATAGCACAGTGGGTAGGGCTTTTGCCTTGCACACAGCCAACCCGGGTTCAATTCCCAGGATCCCATATGGTCCCCTGAGCACCACCAGAAATAATTCCTGAGTGCATGAGCCAGGAGTAAAACCTGTGCATTGCTGGGGGTGACCCAAAAAAACAAAACAAAACAAATTTTAAAAAAGTATGCCTTTGCTAGAGAGATTGCTCGGGGGAAGTTCTGGATTTGAGGTTCAACACCAAAAAATAAAACTGTACGTTCGACCAGGCAATTCCTAGCACAGCGGGTAGGGCGTTCGCCTTACAAGCGGCCAACATGGCCGACCCGAGTTCGATTCCTCTGCCCCTCTCGGAGAGCCCGGCAAGCTACCGAGAGTATTCGATATGCCAGACACAGTAACAACAAAGTCTCCAATGGAGACGTTACTGGGCCCGCTCGAGCAAATCGACGATCAACGGGAGGGCATTTACCTTTACCATTTACATTCATTCTAAGGATATGACAGGTGTATGCCGATATACAGTGGCAAATATTTCACTGAAGTGCTATTCCTATTTAAAAAATTGTCCCTGTCCCTGTCCTTCCCTTATTCATCGATTTGCTCGAGCAAGCCCAGTAACATTGTGAGACTTGTTACTGTGTTTGGCATATTGAATACGTCACGGGTAGCTTGCCAGGCTTTGCCAGGAGGGCGAGATACTCTCGGTAGCTTGCCAGGCTCTCTGAGAGGGGCAGAGGAATTGAACTCAGGTCGTCCATGTCGGCCGCTTGCAAGGCAAACAACATCTGCCCAATCATATGGGATTGGTTAACTAAATCGATTAATTGTACAATGTTGCTATGTTATGCAGCCATTTAAGAAGTAGACAGAAATGAAATGGTATGAATATTTGCAATATTACATTTTTTAAAATTTATTTATTTTTGCTTTTTTGGGTCACACCCAGCAATGCTCAGGGTTACTCCTGGCTCTGCACTCAGGAATTACTCTGGGCGGTGCTTGGTGGACCATATGGGATGCCAGGGATCGAACCCAAGTCAGCCTCGTGCAAGGCAAACATCCTACCCACTGTGCTATCACTCCGATTTTAAGAAGTTTGCCACACGTGTACTTTCTCTAAAACATCATGTGCACACAGACATGAAAGATTCATCAGTCAGCATTTGGCTGTGTGTGACATTGGAAGTCAAGCTAAGACCTAGACTAGCCAACCCTTCCTTTCAGTGAAGGGCTGAGTAGCGGAGACCAAAGCAACCTCTCACTCCTCTCAGCATCTCCTGACACTCATTTCCATCTTCCAGGATCGGTAGCCCTTACACCTGCTTTCTAAAACTCAGGGGAAGGAAGGAAGGGACCCTATTTTTCAGGAGCCTTCACATGAGAAGTCACGTGTGGCGTTCTTCTTTGTTAACCATATCTCATTAGCCAGAACTGGGCAGGGTATGGGATGCTTAAAATAGTGTTCTTTTAGAGGCTGGAGAGATGGTACCGATGTTAGGACACCGTGCCTTGCATGCACCTAACCCCAATCCAGTTCCCTACGCCATGTGACTCCCCAAGCATCCCTGGATGTAGAGCTGGAGGCCCCCCTCACTCCCACCAAGCACTTCTGAGGTGACCCTCGTGGTCCCAGCCACTATTGGACCCAAGCAGCATGTTATTATGCCATAGCATCTATTTGTATACAGTTGGCCAAGAAACCAGGAGTTGGTCTCTAGAACATTGTTTAGGAGGACCATTCCCATCCTCAGATTCATTGTGATCTTTTCAGTGAACTCATTGTATCCAAAAACTGGGTTTTGAGTTGAGATTAACACTCTCCCTAAAGAGAGCGTTTAACATATACCAAAATATTAGAAGTGGTTATATCCAGGATAGAATTATGGGTGGTTTCACTTCTTTCCACAGAACTGTTGTTTTCTATTTAACCACTATTTTCTAAAATTTCTTTGACCTTTTTTTAAACATTTTTAATGAGATCCAATACAGTTTTGCACCCCCCCTCCAGCCCCCCATGTGTGTAAAGAGAAGCAGTCAAACAGAAATGAGCTCAAAGTCAGTCCACTGGCTTTTGAACTTTTCTGAAAAGCTTTTACCTTTGTTAAAACTCCCCTATGTGGTAGATGCTTTAAAGCAAAGTTCTCTTTAGGTAGACTTTGAAAAAGTTGAACTGGAAAAATGAGTCACCTATGGTCACATGCAGATTCTTCAGAGGACAGTGTCAGTTAGGGTGAAGGTTTTTTTTTTTTTAAAAAAAAGAGGTTCCCAAATACAGTGGCTTTTTATTTCTTCTTATATTTATTTATTGAATCACTGTGGGAAAAGTTACAAAGCTTTCAGGTTTAAGTCTTGGTCATACCATGATCGAACACCTTTCCCTTCACCAGTACTCATTTTTCACCACCAAGAACCCCAATATACCCCCCTCCCACCCCTCCCAATGCCTGTGAGGCAGATGATTTCTATTTAACTCTTCTCTACATTGATTACATTCCATTATTTCGACAAAAGATGCACCATTATGCACCAGAATTTCGCCCCCAACAATCAGAATTGCTGAAAAGGCATTGTAAAATAGTTTTTTCTATAGCTGGTTATGAGAATCATATAATGATTTTGGATTTTTGCAAAGAGCCAGATAATTACAAGATTGGTTTCTTTGCATCTGGTGTTATGGCTGTGCCAGAGAGCCACTCGTGGGGGGCAACTCATGACCTCGGTAGGGCATGAAGGATGAGCCAGTACTGTCCCCCTTCCCATGAGACTGCAGTGGCCCTTCACCGCCGGCTCATACCTGGCTTTCCAATAAGCTCTGAGGCGACGGCCACTTTGCTGCTGGGGGGAGGCGGGGAGGCAGAAGGGAGCAACACCCTTTCTCTCCTGGGGAGGCATGGCGCCGTAGTTTAACGCATGGTCCATTCACTTTTCTGCCGCAAACTGCTGGGCTCTGGATTAAGTCCTTTTGCCTCTGGAGCCATGGTCGTGCCGGAGAGCCGCTTGTGGGGGGCAACTCGTGACCTCAGTAGGGCGTGAAGCCCAAATACAGTGGCTCTAAGAAAATCATTTTTATCTCTACCTTGGAACAGTCCTAAGGGCCCTCCAGCTTGGTTAGATATCTCTGCTAGGTCACATAGGGACCCTCGTCTTTGATGTGGCTCTCCCACCCTCTGTTTGATTGACAGTCTTCATCTGCATCTCTACAAGTCTCGGGACCCTCAGCTCACATTTCTCTGGAGAAAAAAAGTAGAGATAGGGCCCATCTCTTGCTTCAGAAGGACCAACTATATCCCGAGGCTTCCCATTCGATTTTGGTTTTGTTTGGAGGCCACACCCAATGGTGCTCAGGGTTTACCCCTGGCTTTGCACTCAGCAGCTACTCCTGGTGGTGTTTGGGGAATTGTGTGAGGTGCTAGGAACTGAACCCAGGTCAGCTTTATGTGAGGCAAGTGCCCTCCCCGATGTGCTATCTCTCCAGCTCTGTGGCTTTTGGTTCTTAGTTAATGTCCAAGCATATTAAAGCCTAATCTTTAAAATAACGTTCATGTTGGCCCAGAATTTTTAAAAAAAGTCAGAATATCTGTCCTAGATTGACATATTTGTCCCATTTATAGTAAACCTTCTTAGGATTTCCCCTCCTGGTTGTATAAACTCATTTAAAAATTGTTTTTAAAGTGAACGTACAAAAAGACTCCATTTCCTCTGATCAGCTGTAACTCTGCCCAGTTTAGATTAGTTCTCTCTGATAATTTTGCTTTGAGGCCACACTCAGCTATGCTCAGGGCTCACTCCTGGCTCTGAGCCCTAGAGTCACTCCTTGTAGGACTCTGGGGACATGATGTGGTACCAGGGATTGAAGGTTGGCCAGCCGCAGGCAAGGGAAGCCCCCTACCCACTATATTCTCTCGGACCCCATACTTTTTTCCTTGGATTTTTTTTCTCCTATCCAGAAAAAACCTAGTGAAGCAACTTATACCATCTGCATCTTGTTTTGTTGTTATATTTTTAGTATATTCTTGTATTGTATACTCTTCATGCCATAATCTCAGTGTAGGATGGGACTTCTGTCTACATGATGAAAAAATTCTTGTGTACTCTTGCTTGTATTCTCTGTCCCTCTCAGAGAGTCCGGCAAGCTACCGAGGGTATCCCACCCGCACGACAGAGCCTGGCAAGCTACCTGTGGCATGGCGTGTACAGTATGCCCAAAACAGTAAGAATAGCGGGCCTCATTCCCTTGACCCTGAAAGAGCCTTCAGTACAGCAGCATTGGGAAAGACGAGTAAGGAGAGGCTGCTAAAAGCTCAGGACTGGGACAAATGAGACGTTACTCAAGTAAATCCATGAACAACGGGATGACAGTAATACAGTGATGTTTAGTGTAGTTGTAACAATCTGCCCGTTGTTACAAATGCCTTATAAATGCTTTAATCGCTCAGCAGAAGTTCCCTGAGGGCAAGTGCAGTGCCCCTGAAGTCTCTGCTGGCCCAGGCTGATCCTCTCCAGGCATCTATCAATCAATGTTGCTTTTGTTTGGGGACGGAGCCTGGGTCAGCCACCAGCAAAGTGAGTCAATGCCCTACCCACTGTATGGTCGTATGGTCGCTCTGGCCCCAATCAATCAGTGTTGCTCAATGGGTCATGGCAGGAGAGTGACATAAACATTACACGGAGCCAGAGTTTCCTTGTTTATTCTCCATGTTGTCACAGAAAAAAAGTGTCCAGCCTCAGGAGGCATATCCTCTTTCTCCTTCAGCGTCTGCATTTTTCTGTCATGCAGAGAGAAGTCCCATCCTGCACTGAGATGACAGCGTGAAGGGCCGGCGCACATCTAACCACCTGACATGGTTTTTTCTATCCACAGGGCGTTGGTTCTCCTTACGGCCCTCAGACCTCGGTGGTACTGCAGAGAAATTCCAGACCCTGCAAACAGCACTTGGGCAAAGACATACCCCACTGTGGAGGTGAGGACAAAGCCACTTGCTCAGACTCAGGGCTGGGGGGTGGGGCTGGGGGGCAGTGAGCGCCACATCTAAGCTTCCCGTTATAGTACAAGGAAGCCTGGGTGCTCAGATGCTTGCGGAGGAACTGAAGCCGCCAGGCTGTGCTCCCAGCCTCCGAGCCTCCGTGTCACACAGAGGGCCTGTCAGAAGCGTCTGACCCAAAGATGAAAAGACCCACAGCTTTTCATTCCTCTTACTTAAAAAAGAAAATTCAGGGAAAAAAAATTCAAAAGCAAGTATTGTTACCCACTTGCCAAACTCTAGCCTGAGCCCTTTAAATACAAGTGGGGGGAGGGGGAGGAGAGAGAGAGAGAGAACAGAAGAGAGGAGAGAGAGAGAGGAGGGAGAGAGAAGAGAGAGAGGGAGGGAGAGAGGGAATAAGAAAATAGGAAAGGAAAGAGGAGAGAGGGAGATAGAAAGAGGGAGAGAGGAGGAAACAGAAACAGGAAGGGAGAGAGAGAGAGAGACAGAGGGAGAGAGACAGAGAGAGAGAGAAAGAGAAAGAGAGGGGAGGGGAGGGGAGGGGAGGGTAGGGGAAGGGAGGGGAAGGGAGGGGAGGGGGAGGGGAGGGGAGGGGAGGGGAGGGGAGGGGAGCCAGGGCTATTTTGGTTTGGGCAAGAAGCCAGGGAGTCATTCCACTGTGCAAGGGAAGACTTTAAAGGAGCAGTTGCTCCTGCCAGGCGCGAGCCAAGGCAAGCCGGTGGAGAGAGCGACTGCCCTGCCTCGGCTAAGGAGGTGAGAACAGCTCCCAGCAGGCAGACGGGCACTCTGGTGGCCGGCCAGCAGGCCAGCAAGCAGATAGATTGCAGTCAGCAGTATACCAGCAGTATACCAGAATCCTTCCCATGGGCCACTCGGCCTCCCGTCCTGCACCTGACAATCCTCGCGTGAGACGCTTCCTTAGTCCCCCTGTCCGTTCTCTCGCTCATGCCCTTGTCAGGCCCAAAGCTCTGCTCAGGAAGAGCTTGTCTCTGCCGCACTGGAACTGAAGTCACTGCAGTTCAGGGCCCACCTCTTGGACTTCCTGTGGATGGGAGACCCCTGGGCAACTTGGTGATAGTCTGAGCCCACTAGCACCCAGAGCTGGAAATGGACAGTGCGCCATGGACGCTGCCATGAGAATCAGAATCACTCCCATGGATTTTATTTTTTATTTTTACTTTTTTTTTTTTTTTTTTGCTTTTTGGGTCACACCCAGCGATGCTCAGGGGTTACTTCTGGCTCTGAACTCAGGAATTACTCCTGGAAGTGCTCAGGGGACCATATGGGATGCTGGGAATTGGGGATGCTGGGAATTGAACCTGGGTCAGCCTCCTGCAAGGAAAATGCCCTACCCACTGTGCTATCACTTCAGCCCCTCCCGTGGATTTTTTTTTTTTTTGCTTTTTGGGTCACACCTGGCGATGTACAGGGGTTACTCCTGGCTCTGCACTCAGGAATTATCCCTGGCGGTGCTCAGGGGGACCATATGGGATCTGGGAATTGAACCCAGGTCGGCCGTGTGCAAGGCAGATGCCCTACCCGCTGTGCTATTGCTCCAGCCGCATCCCTCCCGTGGATTCTTAAGCTGTCTTAGGAAGCACATGGACCCACACAAGTCAAAGGTCACCCACTTCCTTCCTGGGAAGGCTCCTCTATGAAATCTCTTTTCAGGGTTTCTACTGTTATATCTTATGCATGATGTGTAATCATGTTGCTTTTACACACATATAAAAATTATTTTCTATGTGCAGGCACTCCCTCCCCCCCCCCCCCCGGGCAATACCTGACAGTGCTCAGGGCTTACTCTTGGACTCTGTGCTCAGGGATTGTTCCCGATGGAGTTTAGTTAGGGACCATATGCAGTCCATATGCAGTGCTGGGGATCAACACTAAGTCAACTGTGCCCCGCATAAGTGCCTTGCCTGTGGGACTGTCTCCCCAGCCCCGTGCCAGGCACTTAAAGAAAAAAAAACTTTCCATGTGTTCACAAGAGCTTTGGGGAGAGTATACTGTTATCCTCATTTTTCAGATGAGGAAACAAGATGACTAAGAGTGCCCACTGTTCCCTGCTAGTCAGTAGTGAGGCTTGGGTTCAACAGCTAAGCAGGACATACCGTCTACTCTTCTCCTCTACCCCTAAAGATGTATCAGGGGCTGGAGCAATAGCACAGCGGGTAGGGCATTTGCCTTGCATGCGGCCAAGCTGGGTTTGATTGCCAGCAGCCCATATGGTTCCCGAGCACCGCCAGGAATAATTCCTGAGTGCATGAGCCAGGAGTAACCCTTGTGCAAAGACGGGTGTGACCCAAAAAGCAATCAAGCAATCAATAAATAAAGACAGGGAGAGTGTTTTGAGTACCCCCAAAGAAAACAGACAGCCAGAAGCTGTGTTCACAAACTTAGCTGGTGAGGAGCTGACGGGGGACTCCCACGACACCTCTGCTGAGTTACAAGGGGTTCAGGTACCAGCAGGGGGACCGGCTACGTCAATGCCTGGAGTCTGCAGTCCTCTGTCGTGAGAGCCTGGAATAGCAGGTGGTGGGAAGCAGCTCCGGGTCAGTCCCGGACACCTGGCACCGCGTCTATAGCTCTGGCATCGTGGGCCAGTGTGGAGGCAGAGGCAGGAAGGGCCTTGTCAGAAACTGGAGAGAGATGCTGAGAGAGAAGGGTTAGAGAACGTGAGTGGAAACGGCCACACGTGCCCATAATGGTATGGCTTGAGTTTGTTCACTGCTGTTGGAGAGAAGACAGGAACTGGAAGTAAGCTAATCTGTCACAAGATGGAACATTCTGGGCATCGTCATCCAGCAGGGTATTAGGCAGCCACCCTGTGAAAAAAAGAAACAAAGAAAGTGAAGATGCATTTGTATGCTTTCAAGTCTCCAAGGGGCTGAGGAGAGGGTGGTGGGATTAGGGTACATGCAAGTCTCTAGCTGGTGCCATCCCTGGCACCCTCTGACCACCAGCACTTAGCTAGGCATAGCCCTGGAGGTCTCTTGAGCATCATCGGATGTGGTTCTGGTGGTGGGTCCAGACACTACAAGGTTGGAGCCTCACTACATCCTTGGGCCGTAATCTGGAACCATTGACCGTTTGGCCAAGTATTTCTAGGGGCAGATTTTAAATGCGCACAGGTCTCCATCACGTGCCACACAGGATTTCTGGAAGCCTTGCAGGGTGCGTGGGAAACGGGTCCGAGGATCTGCCTCTGAGGAGGCTGGGAGTGTGAGAGCCACTTTGTTTTCACAATCCGTCTCCTTTGAACGTATAAAGTGCTTTACAGAGCTATGTATTTTTGCTATGTTTTGGGGTGATACTCTGCAGGGTGCAGGGGCTCAGTGCCCAGGGGGTGCTTCTGGCAGTAGAGGACCACATGGTGCTGGGGATCAAACCCAGGCCTCCCACTTGCAAGTGCTCTACCACTGAGCTGCACCCCCAACCCCTTGCACAAATTTCTTTAGAAAAAAAAAAAGAAAAAACTGGCAAATTAGAAAACGTTTTAGAAAACTTCACTTCAGAAGGCCTCGGAACCCAGGAAGAGGACCTTGCCGATCTCTCAGAGAGGTCAAAACAGACATCAGAAATAAAAGGGCTATTTATCATCGCCAGTAAAATACGCTTTGAGTTTCCCTACTTTTCCCCACTTTGCTTTGCTAAGATGCATCTCAAAGCGTGAGAGGCCTTGAAACTGTGGTGGGAAAGGTCTTATCTTACACTGGGCTGTTACCCACTAGGTGTGGGAAAGCGTCCAAGTGTCCATGAGGTGTTTGAGCTCATCATAGTCCTAGAGTTCCTGCCCCGGGACTTTCAGCCAGAGTGTTTGCTCTGTAAAGAGTCTGAGCCACAGCCTCTGCCCCTGCAAAGCTCTGAGTTAGAGTGAGTGTCTTGCTCTGAAAACCAGCCCTGTCGGCACCTAATCTGTATCGTATTACTTCAACTCATCCCTCCCACATCTGTGGAAGCAAACAGAGCAGCCGGCCAGGTCCCAGCCAGACCAAAGTGCTCGGCCTCATTTACTCTGGCCAAGAATGGATTCCAGGGCTGGAGCGATAGTACAGCAAGTAGGGCGTTTGCCTTGCACATGGCCGATTCTATTCCCAGCATCCCATATGATCCCCCGAGCACCAGCAGGAGTAATTTCTGAGTGCAAAGCCAGGAGTTAACCCTGTGCATCACTGGGTGTGACCCCCCCCCAAAAAAAAGACTTCAAAGGTGAGACACAGAGCTTCTAGCTGTCCAGGCCCCTTTGCAGAGCCTGTGCTGAGACAGCACAGCAGTTACTATATGACCATTACCTTTTGACTCTTGACTCTTGATTCCTCCTTTTGACTCTTCCAGAGCCTTAAGATTCTACCCATCATGGGCTGGAGAGATAATACAGGAGGTAAAGCGTTTTTGCCTTGCATCCAGTTGACCCTCATTCCATCCTGCCAAGCTCAAGGCAAAGGAGAGGACATCAAAGGGCATTGGGACCAAACCATTCTTGCACACCTTAGCATTTGACAGACCAGAGAAGAGAGATTTACGGCTTTCAAATGTCAGCCCTTGGACTAGTCCTCAGGGCTGGCCCTGTCTCAGGGCTATAACTGTCAGCCTCCCTTGAGACCAGGTTTCTGCTGGCAAATGGCTTGAGGACATGTAAAATAGGTCAAGGCAGTACAAAGCGTCATGTGCCCAGGCCTTAATAGGTGGCTGCCTTGAAGAGTCCCTGTAGTCACTGTCCCGAGGGGCTTTACAGAAGAGGATGCAGCAAGCAGGGAGGCGGCTGGCAGAGGAAATGGAAGCCCAGTGGGAGTTAGAAGAAGTGTGCTTTCAGAGTAGGGCATCAGAGTATCTACCATGCAGAAGCCTCTGGCAATGCCATGGGCGGAAGATTCCCTGCATTTGTACAAGTATGGGGTTCTAAGTCCTCCAGAGCGAGGCGCTTCCAGAATGAAAGCAGAGCCCAAAGGAGCCTAGTTAAAATGTTAATGTAAGAGGACTTGGACTCAGGAATCAGGCAGCAACTTTGGATGCTGGTAACCAATGTGATGCTGAGGAAGTGTGAATTCTATTGCTAACAGATCAAATTAGCTGGGATTAAAAAAACAAAAACTCATTCCAAAAGTTCTTCCAGAGGCGGCTTTCTTAAAAGAAATTACTCTACCTCAAACCCTGGTTGGCTGTGTCCAACCCCTGCTCCATTGCATCCCTCAAAAGGTCTTTCTTGCTTCCTGTTCATGTCTTTCCTTACCCACCTTTGAGGACATGTAAAATAGGTCAAGGCAGTACAAAGCGTCATGTGCCCAGGCCTCAATAGGTGGCTTCCTTGAAGAGTCCCTGTAGTCACTGTCCCGAGGGGCCTTACAGAAGAGGATGCAGCAAGCAGGGAGGTGGCTGGCAGAGGAAATGGAAGCCCGGTGGGAGTTAGGAGAAGTGAGGATTCAGCTCTAGTGAGCCTTTTTCAGTGTTGTCTCACTCCAGACCCCTGCACAGACAGGCAACAGGGTCCTCTATGGCAGAGGAAGAGCAACGCACAGTTTTAGAATCTTTCAGTTGATGGCTAGGTGGTCCACACACTCACTGGCCTGGACTTCCGGAGTCCCGGGTCCTGCCCATGCTGGCTCTCACCTCCCCAAATTAAAGCCCACAACATCTCACCTTATGCTGATGAGGTAGTGCTGACCGAGGCCCTTCGGAACCCTGGAGAAGCCAACGGTCTAGGTCACTGAACAGAGTGAAAAGAGCCTCTTCCTTTGCCTTCTCAGGAGACGACACTGCTGTACACGGCCGGCCCCCCTCATGAGGAACCTGAGCCTCTGGTGGTCAGTGAAGTGTTCTGCCACACAACCCTGGTCTTCAGGCATGCCCACTGCCCCGACGTGCCCGGGGAAGGACGAGAAATCCCACGTCCCTGTACCTCAGACGACGGAGTGGACAGTGCCTCCAGCCCATCGCCCTTGAGCGGTCTCCCAGCAGACGCAGGGGAGCTGGTAGATCTCTACAAGGTGCTGGGGTGCAGGGTCCCAGTCTCAAAGCCAGGAAACCCGACCAGCCCCTTCACCATCCTGCCTGTGGACTACCTTCCCACCCAGGAAAGCTACTTACCTTCCCACACACAGTGTCTCCCTTTGCACGCGGCGCCCACACCCGACGGTCTGGAAGAACAGGTGCCTCAAATCTCTCTCTCGGTTTTCCCCTCAAGTTCTCTTCAGCCGCTCCCCATCTCCTATGGTGAGAAGCTGACTCTGGACCAGCTGAGGATGGGGCGCGACTCCCTTGTGCTCTGAGGGGCAGAGTGAAGCTTGCAGTGACACCAGGTCCGCAGCCGGCATGGCCACGTCCTACTGCTTGCATTCAAGGGCACTTGCCTCAGATGCTGCGATCGAGTCCGGTCACTCACAGCCAGGACGCTGACCATCACCCAGATTCCTCCTTTTGATTCTTCCAGAGCCTTCAGATTACATCCCACCATGGGCCACAGAGTTAGTATTAGGAGGTAAGGCGCTTGCCTTGCATGTAGCCATCTCTAGTCCCCTAGAGCACCGCCAAGAGTGACCCCTGAGCACAGAACCAGGGGTGTCTTTGTTCTAACCTCCACCCCACAAAGGTTACACCCCGTAGGTAGGAATAGAAACTCGGGTTCCTGCAACTTTCCTGTCTACACTGGCAACGAGAAAAGGAGACTGAAAACTAAACCTTACAAACGCTGGCAAAGGGTTCGGATCATTCAGGCATTTATCAATTACTTATATAATATCTGGTGTCTAGATTCATGCTGACCAGTAGTGAGTTTTGGGATACAAGTGTTCTATATGTATGTCTATTCATTCAATAGACACTAAACACGTGATTGATCTCTTCAAAATGTTCAGCATAGGGCTGGAATTACAGCACAGCGGGTAGGGAACTTGCCTTGCATGCAGCCAACCCAGGCTCGATCCCTGGCATCCTGAACACTATCAGAGTAATTCTTGAGTGCAGAGCCAGACGTAACCCAAGTATTGCCGGGTGTAGCCCTAAAACAGTTCAGGATGACTGAGTAGCCTACCGTCCTGGAGAACAGTTCTTGATCGCTGGTCCCCAATTTATCCCCTCCCTTTCCAGAAAGGCAATTCCAACCTCACTCCCTCCTCCTCCCCGCCCCCCACCCATATATCTACCTTCTTTAAGCCAACAGAAAGCCCCTTATTGTACCTGAAACTACTACGCGTCCCCTGGGTCCTTCCAGTGTGCCTCCCACCCCCTTTGGCTTAGTGATTACAGCTGCTACCTCGCAAGCATTAGGTCGCAAACTCCATTCTTGGTGCTGTTCGTGCTGGCAGCTCAGTAAGCTGTGACCCCTGGGCTCCCAGGTAGCAGCCAGCCTGCAAGCACAACTGAAAGGTATGTTCCCTGGCAAAACAGGTGTGCCAGGCCATAGAAAGCAGCGCCATCCCAGCTAGCAAAACAGTGCGTGTAATTGCCATCACAAAACTCGCAGAAGGGGAGCTGGTAGAAACGTATTTCCCTAGGTCTTGCCTGTCCCTTCAGGAGAGCCAAGACAACCACAGGAAAGCGAGGCGAGCTGAGCTTCACCGCCCCCCCTCAGAAACCCAGCAGTTGAGGGGGACACATCTGACCCCATGCTTTCTTTCGGCTGCCCTGGGTCCTACCCTCCAGATCAGAGCTAACGTAAACCGCTCAGGTGGTGCCCAGATTTAGAATCCCTTTTTCAAAAGGGATTTGGTTTTCCTTCTCTGTACCCTCAGCTGCTCTCTCCAACAGTTCAAGTTGGGCCTGGAAAATAGTCCCATTCCCAAGGCACAAACTTGGGAGAGTGGGTTTTGCTCCACTTCAAGATGTGGCCCCTGGACTATCACAACCTCCTTTCCTTATTCCTGCCTCTATTCCTGGATTATGAGCACTTCTAAAGGCATATGAAGAGCTGAAGCGATAGTACAGCGGGTAGGGCATTTGCCTTGCATGTGGCCGACCTGGGTTCGATTCCCAGCACCCCATATATATGGTCCCCTGAGCACTGCCAGAAATTCCTGAGTGCATGAGTCAGGAGTAACAAAATAAAACAAAATGAAAACCCTGGTTCAAATGCTGATAGATCCTCTCCAGAGCACAGAAGACTCAAAACCTTAAGTCCCTGTGAAGACTGGAACTGACAGGAAACCTGTCCCATCCTAACTGTGATGGTTTATCAGATTTTTCTGAGTTCCAGAAATCAAGTGACGAGCACTTCTCTGCTGGTCCACATTAAACTATTAGGTTTAATTCTCCATCCATGCTTCCTGCCTTCCCACACTCAGTGGCTGCATGTTACCCTTAACCAGCAGCTCACTACTGTCTACCTCTGGACACACTGTCCCATGTTTGCCACAGGCCAGGGACAAAGCCATCTCTTTGGATACATGTCAGCCTATTACCTCAACCTAACAGGCACTAACTTCATTTTCGCAATTTTTCCCTAACTTTGGGTTAGGGAAATGGATTAATCCATTTCAATCATCTTCCCTCCGGTCTTCCAACACTCAGTTCCTACTTTCCTTTCTTAGGCTGCAGTGCTAAATGCAACTTCTTAAAAAAAGAAAAATACTAAAACTGAACAATGGGAGGACAGTGCGACCGTGCTAATGGAACGGAGGAAAGGGAAGCTTCCTTGACCCTCAAGTTTGTGGTCTACTGGCCATGCAAGCAGAAAGCAGGGAAATGTTTCTTAGCACCGTAACTGGTCCATGGCAGACTGTTAAAAAAGAAATATTCCCCAACTTTAAAGACATCTGGAGCACACCTCAGACCAAGGGTCTTCTTCCTTCAGAGTGTCAGCAAATGGTAACCTTAATCTATCCTTGTCGAGAGCAGACTTCTTCACAGGCTTCCTGCTCTGCTCTCCCATGTAGTCAAAATTAAAAATCAGGGTGTAAAGACTGAAGTTCACCAGAACCGTATATACTGCTAGGCCTGCATTCCTCAGTAAAATTTACCATTTAAAACCATTTAAAGCCAGGGGCTGGAGTGATAGCACAGCGGGTAGGGTGTCTGCCTTGCACGCGGCCAACCCGGGTTCGATTCCCAGCATCCCGTATGGTCCCCTGAGCACCACCAGGAGTAACTCGTGAGTGCAGAGCCAGGAGTAACCCCTGTGCATTGCCAGGTGTGACCCAAAAAAAGCAAAAAAAAAATAAAAATAAAAAAAAATAAAACCATTTAAAGCCAACCTAGAAATCTGTCCTAAGCAATTCAAATTCCCTCTCATCTACTATATCCTACAGACCAGATTTTATTTGTAACAGCAGAGCACTCTGTCTTTAATGTGGTGACAAATACCTTGATTTCTTCCTTAAAAGTACCATGGGGGTGGGCACTGAGTACAGTTTGTAGGGCACTTGCCTTGCACAAGGTTAATGCAGGTTCATTCTCTGGAACCCCATATGGTGCTGAACCCCTGCTAGGAGCAACTCCTGAGCAAAGTCGGGATTAAGCCTGGAGGAGGGACGGCAGGTACGGCCCCAAAACAAAAGTTGTTTTTAAGATCCATTACCCCTGTTTTCCAAAGCCAAGATTCTACTGGGTGCGTTTCTAGAACTTGGTATGTATCACCTAGTTCAGTTGTCCAAACAGCATCAAGGGCTACAGCAGGGGCACTTTCTACTTGTTTAGAGAAGGTAGATTTGGGGGCGGGCCAGAGATAATACAGCAGGTAAGGCACTTGCACCAAACCAGGTTTGATCCCCAAGCCCTGCCAGGAATGATGCCCAAGCAGAGCCAGGAGCAAGCCTTGCGCAGAGACCTCTGTGACAAAACCCTCCCTATCCCCAAGCCTTGAAAATAAGATTTCTAATAAGGTGACTTTTGTTTTCTGAAAAAGATGACAGGTGAAGTCTGAGAATCTCTAATTTTTGTTCTTTCTGTACTGCCTTTTCCTCCTGTCCCCTCTTCTGTTTCTATTAATAGCCCACATCTGCAGTTTTCAGCAAGGCTCTGACACTGGTGAGAGATGTCAAAGTAGGTATTCTAGTCTCTCTCAATGTTGCTTTTTCCCCATCAGGCTGTCTCCCCTACACCTGATGCAGTGATTTGGTCCCATTTAGCACCACAGCTTCTCCAAGGAGCCCTATTTTTCTTGTGTAGGACACAGGAGTTCATTTTATTCACCTTTATAATAAACACTGATGGGCAAAACCCCAAGCAAAGGCTGCTATTCCCCTCAAGGTAAACAATACAATCAATTGGCTAATGGCAAATCTGACCTTTATGTTACCACCTATATCTATCTAAATATTCAATAAACAGAAACTACAGAACAAGCCTTCCTTAATAAGCTCTCCATAACCCAGTTTCAAAACACCAAAGCTTGGTTAAAGAGATAGTACAGTGCGAAAGGCCTTAGTATTGCAGGTTCAATCCCAGGCGCTCTATCTATATGGTCCCCAAGGCCACCAGGCATGATCTGAGTACAGAGCCAGGAGTAAGCCCTTAGCACTGCGAAACTGCGAAAACCCCCACCCCCAAAGTAAAGACAAACTAGATGAAACCAGATACAGGTAGAAATTAGAATGTGCAAGTAACCTTGGAAGCGATGGATATCCAAAACCAAGTTTATATAGTAAGCTTATTTCTGGAAAGTTTTTCTAACAGAAGTAATGATCATTAAGATCTAATGGTGCAAAGCACACGCAGCTTTTAAGAACTTTAGCTCTAACACAGGCGGTATTATCCACTAGACAGACTAGTCAAAAGCTACCTGGCTTTAGAGAATGTATGTGGAATGCAGTTTTGTGGGGTAAGGGGGAGGAGAGAGGGAGACTGAGTGGGCGTTGACCTAGCAGTGCTTAAGACTTCCAATGATGCTGGCTCACATAACCATCACTATGACAGCAATCTAGCTAGAGATTGTTTCATGTGAACCACTAGACTGTTCCTTTGTAAACAGGTCTGCACATTACCATTTTGGGGGACAACCTGCCTAGTTCCAGAGTAGTCTTGGATTGAATTTAGGATTCACTCCCTGCTCAGGGATCATACGGGATGCTGGGAATTAAACCAGGCCGGCTGCATGCAAGGCAAGCACCGTATCCGCTATACTATCTCTCTGGGTCAAAACATTTTCATCACTTTCTCTGAAAATTGACAGTCCAATACTTATGTTCTATCATTCTTGGTTTTCAGAATTGCACCTAAAATCAGGTAAAACTCCAAAGGATACCCCAATTCCTATCATGAAAACAACAGAAAAGCACCATGAAATACGAAGCAGTAAGCTACATTCATGGCATTGACTGACTATTCAATTAACTTC